CTCATTGCCTATGTAACTGTCACTATGTCTTTCATCCATTTTCAACATTAATATTGAACATTTTCAACCGGAGGCCCCCTCCATGCATTGACAGCAGCCACCATGTTAGTCGTGACGTCAGCATTCTTCACCACGTGACACCTAGGGGGAGTGCCTTTGCCCATATACGTCTCATCTATATGTCTGCTTTTTAAAGCTTTAATAGATCGTCAGAATTAAGTTCACTGATAAATTCAAAATGAAAAGTATTGTTTGGCAAGTGAAAGCGGGACGTTACTCACAGAATGTGATAGGCTTAGCAGCAATCTAGTACGGGAAATATACAGCTGCACAGTGGAGCTGCCAATCAAACACTTATATGGACAAGTGTGACCTACTTTAAAACTCAGACACGCTACCACAGGGGTAAATCAGCAATTAGGCTAAAATTATGGGTTTATTTGTAAACTTCCATTATTTTAAGATAGGCTGATATGTAGTTGATATTTCATCTATCTTATACTGACAAATTCAGAAAAACACCCAAATTTTGACAATTTACTGTTATCTACATCCGATTAAAACATTTTTAAGTTATGTGTATATGGACAAGGGTTTCAAAAGATATATCATCAAAGTGGGATTGTCCACATGAAATAAATAAACCACACTTTTAAATGGTGATCTTTAAGGATGATAATAATTTATCAAATTTGTTAAGGTGCTGTAGTAAGAAGAATAAGATGCCTAATCTCTGGATTGACACACTCATTTTCAATTTGTAATTAATATCTTATTTACAAAGAATAAATGGTATTCATATAAATTATTCAGAATGGCTGATAACATTTTAGTTAAGATTGAACATTTTAACACTCCGTCTAATATGTGCTTACAAACAGCATGATTTGTGCAAACACCAGAAAATGTCAAGAATGATTTTTAAGAATGATGTTGTTTTGAAAGGCACTTTTCATTTTCCCATTGCAGCATCCACTTGTTGAAATGAAAAAATATAAACTCTGAGTCATTAGATCTTCTTCCAGCTAGTCCGCCAATTTCATATTGAACAGTTATAAATTTTTACAACCATTTAAGATATCATTAGATTTTTTTCTCAGTGGATGTGCACCTTTTCATTATCTTGGTTTCTACAGTTACTATTACATCTTTCTCTGTGTTATATTAATAATTTTCTTTTTGCTGGCATTTCAGCTTTGTGAAGATGTCTAAAATCAGTTTTGTCCAGCCTGTGCAGAGAGACAAGCCCCCAAATGTCCCTAGTCATCATCTCTGGGGCACTAAGGTACATGGAACTAAAAAAGATGTGGCTTTTTCTTTATGAATTTTCATTCAGACAGGAAAGAATTGGCCCAACTGTCATCATACGACGGCCATTTTTATTAAAGTAACAGTAGATAGAGTCTAACACGTCTTGTGTATTATGTATTATTTAACATTAAAATTCATAAAAATTTTGACTGAATGTTGTGAAAAATTTCTGAGTTTTAAATCAATGTTGTAGAATAATGTTTGATTTGCTTTTTTCATTTAAATTGTTTTTTGTTTTTTTACACTAGATGCTATGTATATTCTTTTTCCTATAATCAAAGTCCATCATTCAATATTGATGCAGAAAATTTTGATAAGACTGTCTTGTTTCAGGCTTTGAACACATCATACAGTGCCATCTATGGTCTGTACAGTAATTTTGTTGGTGCGCCTCACTTCCGTGCTTGCTGTCGTCTGCTGGGATACCAAGGCATTGCTGTTGTCATGGAGGAATTGCTGAAAATCATCAAGAGCTTGGTAAAGATTCATTAAACTAACTACATTTATTCTCTGGACTTAATATCAAATTATTTAGATGTTCAAATGATCAAAATGTTAAATTGATTTTAGTATAATTAGCTTCCAAATGATATCTATAATAATTACTTTTAAGATATCCCTTTGAACTATAGAGTCTGAATCATGATCAAATGTTACTGTTGCATCCTGGCCTTCATATCAACAAGTTTATAATTGCTAAATTTAGTTTAATTTAAACTTTTAATTTGTGTTGATATGTAATATGTTCTTGTCCCTATACAGCTCAATGGTACCATCCTGCAATATGTGAGGACATTGATGAAAGTGATGCCCAGTGTATGTAAACTACCCAGATATGACTATGGCTCTCCAGGTAAACAGATCTGTTATACTCAGTATGTGAAAATTGCCCATGTGAGAACTAAAGATCAGCTTGTTGTTCATATAACATGATATACTATGTCTTGCTCAGAACTGAAGAAGTGTTTGTTAACAACCTAGGCAGGCAATTCAATGAGCTGATATTTGATTTGTTTAATATGATTTTGAAAAAAGTCATCATTTTGAGTTTAGCTGCAGAATTAGGTTTTGCTGTGGAATTATTTAACTTACATATACTGAAGTTTTGATGAAGAAAATTGATAAAATGCAACATCTGTCTAAATCAACAGAAAATCACACATACTGCAGGAAACATGAATGTCATATCTTTTTTGCCTGCGTATTTTGTAGGTGTACTTGGGTATTACCATGCTAACCTAGAACCCATGATCCAGTACCCAGATCTTAGAACTGAAGTCTTCCAAACCCTGCGTGAGGCAGGCAATGCTGTACTCTTCTGTATGTTGATGGAACAGAACTTGGTAAGTTGAGGATGGGATCAACTCTGTACAAAAGAATTTGAAAATGTTTTATGTTATCCTGTATATGTTGAGGTCAACAGAAAGAATTTAAATGCATTTATTTTAGAAAAGGTTTAAGAATCTTCATTGGGAGACCAATAGCAAAAGCATTTAATGTTACCATATTTGTTTCAGTCCCAAGAAGAAGTGAGTGACCTGAAACATGCTGCTCCATTCCAGAACATTATACCAAAACCTTTCCTCCCCCCTAAAGGTAAGCAAGGCAAACAATTGCCTAATGATTTCATTGGGTGATCTCTTGAATATTTGCTCTTTATTTTCAGAAAACGTGACATATTCAAAAGATTTAGTGATGAACTGAACCAAGTTATGAAAAACTAAAAACCCTACTTTTAATTTTCAATTATAGAAGGGGAAACAAAGAAGGAAAAAGAGACAGAGCTGAAGGGAATAATGAAGAAATTGGAGGCGAGATATGCTGCACTGCAGGTTGTTCCTGTCATCACAAAGTTGGGCACAAAGCAGGTACAGTTTTTTAAATTTTACTCTTAGTAAAGAAATGTGATACAAAAAAAAATGTGCATGCTTTGCTACAGTTTTGTTACTATTTGACTAGATGCCAATACCAAGTTTGAGCTTATATTTTTACAAGAAAAGACAGCAGTGAATTGGTCTTTGCAAAGAATTTGACTGATAATGACTTAATCACTTTCTAAAGAGAAGAATTTATCTAATTAATAAAGAAAGTGCACTTAAGTCTTTTTAATTTGATCATTGTACAGTTTATTTTCTCCAATTATATAATTGTAATAGTCTTAAAAGATTAAAATGCTTATTTCATTGCTGTGACAAAGTCTTTTTATTGCCACAAATAGACTGATATATTTCAGAGACCCAAGAATGACTTGACCTTTTTTAATATGATATGTGGCTGAATAATAAAAATGACTTTTGACCTCTTCCAGCAAACTGACATAGCAGCTGAGGGAGATCTGCTCACCAGAGAGCGCCTCTGTTGTGGGCTGTCCATGTTTGAAATTGTTCTAACAAGAATTAAGTCTTTCCTGGACGATCCCATCTGGAACGGGGACCCACCACCCAATGGTGTGATGAACATTGACGAATGCACAGAGTTCCATAGGCTCTGGAGTGCTATACAGTTTGTATACTGTATGCCAGTGGGCCACAACGAATTCACTGTTGAGTAAGTTTGTGATGATTGTGTTGTTAACAGGGGGGGGGGGGGGTCTGTGTCTTCAACTTGTAAATAGGATATTCAGATATTTGTGGTAAATTTTAAGTGAAAGGAATATTTGAAGGCTTGCATTATGTAATTTGTGATTCTTAAATTAACAAAATGAGAAAGAATATTCTAATTGTGAATATTTATTTAATAATCTTTGTAAGTTTTAGAAAGTTTTCATTTTACCAAAAAAAAAAAAAAATAATAAAATAAAATGTAATAATGAGAAACTAATTGATTTCTGAACATTTCAGACAACTGTTTGGTGAAGGCCTGAACTGGGCTGGCTGCACACTGATAGTGTTGCTAGGGCAACAGAGGAGGTTCGAGGCTTTAGATTTCTCCTACCACGTCCTCAAGGTCAATAGAGTGGACCAGAAGGATGAACCCATTAGAGGCATCGTAAGTTGAAAATATTTAGATTAAAATTTGATTTTGGACCAATGATTATTAAGACCATGATCAATTTAATGAATATTTACTATGAGCAAATATAAATTAAAAAAAGGTGAAACTTGCCAAGACACATTTTACATTTATTGTAGTTGTAGATCAGCTGAGGAGTATGGTTGATTTTATAATCTGATTTTGGATTTTTATTATCATGGTTTCTACTTCAAATTCACACATCTGTCTTGACAAATAGACCCCAGATCTGCCATGTTTATTTTCATCAGTTATTTGCTGTATGTTTTCACTATCATTTCAATAATCCATTACAGCAATTGAAACGTATGGTTGACAGAGTCCGCAAGTTCCAGATCCTCAACTCTCAGATATTTGCCGTTCTGAACAAGTACCTGAAGTCCAGCGATGCAGACAACCTTCCTGTGGAGCATGTCCGCTGTTTTCAGCCTCCTATCCACCAATCACACCAGACAACAATATAATAGGCATTCACATTTACACTGTGCTGAGGTTTAGGTTAATAACATAGGCTTCTGGGTAGTTCTTACATTGGTCAGAATAATTATTGAAAGGCAGTTTTGAAAGGCACTATTGTATATTATTTAAATTCTGAGTTTGCATTAAAGAGTGTCATCGTGGATCATAGGATGGAAGGCAATTGCATGGCTAATTGAACTTTTCAAGTGTTTGTATTATTAGACTAAATTACATAGAAGACCCTTCTAAGGAACCTATCCAGATCATCAATGTCTTCAATGGGGAGGTCTTTGCATTAAATCAC